ACCAAAAATTTCTTTTAATAAAACATTACTTAAAGCAAAATCATCAATCCAAAACATAAACAGAGTATTAATTTCCAAAACACATATTCGTTATCAGAGTAAAACATTCCCAGGCTGTCTAATCAATGGTGTGTGCCATGCGATCACCCCGAGCTCTTCCCTCAGCTACCGGAAGTACCTGAAACCAAAATTGAAAACCGTAAGCACGAAGCTTAGTGAGTTCCCTACCCTACCACATACCAAACATAACCACATACTGCACATACTGGGCCACACCCGCTATCCTAGGCCTCGCGCCCGCCTGGCTTCGAGCCCCGCTCGGATACAGATCTGTTTCACTTAGGCCTCACCTGTCACAGGGCCTCGCCCGCCGATAAATAATAACACATAAACATATCATAGGGCCTCGCCCGCCAACAAATAATAGCACATAAACATATCACAACACATAAGCTAAACTCGTACGACTGATCCTGTCCTAAGGCCTCGCCTATCCTGGGCCTCGCCCTTGTCCTGCTACTGATGAGTCATGGAACCCCATCCACCCTCCTACTGGTGGTGAGATACGGGCCCATCCCACTCTCACTCTTTCCCTAACTTCGGCCTCACCCCTGTTCTGCTACTAATGAGATGTGGAACCCCATCCACACTCTGCTATTGGTGAGATACGAGACCTCGCCCACACTCACCTCCCTACCAGGCATATATATGTATCACACAGACAACAAGTATAAACTATCATATAAACAAATCCTTCGGCACCCGCCCGCTATTAATGGACCTCGTCCTGAATATCATACTAGCATATTGTGCCTAGGGCTAACCCCCAAGCCTTCTACTCATAACTACATGGGTCGGCATTGTGGCCTTAGACCCATTCACACAAAAGGGAAACTCACCTGTACTGGTTAAACTTGCTGATGATCCCACTAGCCGCTTCCCGGCAACTCCCTGAACACCTGCTCCACTCGCTCCCCGAGCTACCAATATCAATGCAACACTTAATCTAACTGACCCCCAAAATTCAACTAAGTCAACTCTGGTCAAAGTCAAGTCCTGGTCAAAGTTAACCTTCCAGGTCAACCCTACTCGCCGAGTCACCCTATTGACTCGCCGAGTTCATATGCTCAGAGTCCTTCCTTTTCGCGACTTGACTCCCGAGTCAGTCCATGACTTGTCATGTCTACCGATTTTCGAGTCCTGACCTATCCAACTCACCGAGTCTCCATTCGACTCACTGATTCGAGTCTCAACTCGAAGGGTTTGGGGTTTCGCGACCTGACTCGCCGAGTCCAAGAGCAAACTCGCCGAGTACAAGGCAATCTTCATTTGACTCGACGAGCTGTTCATCCCACTCGTTGAGTTGCTCCTAATCTTCATACTACTCGCCGAGTCCACTCAAAGGACTCGCCGAGTCCATTCAGATCTCCTTACATGCAGAGGACTTTTGAGGCATGCATGGACTCTAAACTGTAGATCTACCCTTCCCAAGCCTATTCTCACATAAAGTTGCAAACTTTATGTGTAGAGAAGGAAATCTAGGCAAAATACACCATAAACTCGGGTTTAAGGCAAAGAGACTCCATAATCAACTCAAGGGCAGATACTTTATGCTTCTCAAGACCAGATTATGCTTAGATCCGAAGTAGCAACTTCGGATTTGGTTTCTAACTCAAATGGATACCGCTATGGCTAAAAACCCCGAACACTCACACATAGATCTAGGTGCAAAAGAGTCCAAGAACTAGTTTATTACCTCTAAATGCTCAGAAATATCTTCCTAATCTCAGACCTATAGCCCCTTCTTGCACCTCCAAGATCCTTCTTCCTTCTCCAAGCTTTAACGTATTCTTCAAGGCAACAATTGGCTCAAACAATGGATATGGCGGCTAGGGTTTGGCGTTCTGGTTTAGAGAGGCAGTAAAGGAACCCTAGGGAAGAGAATGAGGCGCTTAAATAGGCTCCAAGTCCCGAATTTAGGGTTTTCCTCGCACAGAACAGACTCGCCGAGTCCCCTTGGTCGACTCACCGAGTCGGTCACTTACTCCTCGACCCGGATCCCGCTCGGACTCGCCGAGTTCCTCCTTGGACTCGCCGAGTCGCGCCTTAAAACTAGGGTTTTCTTTCCTTTCTTGGCCTTCCAGACTTTGGGCGTTACATCTCATTATCCTATGCAAAACGATGTTTAGAAAAAAAAACGAAAAAAATAATATTACGAGGTAAAAGATTCTAACAAATGGCATTGAGTTCGGAAGAAATACATATTTCAAAGGATGTACAATATGTGTTTCCTATTGGTACAAGTGGCTGAAGCACTTGTGTATATGTGTCTGCCAAGAATGGGTTCAACAGTTAAAATTGAGACAAATTGCTTTAGTAGTTGATTGCAACATAGCCTGACCTAATCGGTCTTGTTAATCCGCCACCCCCCCCCCTATGAAACCTATATCACGCACTCTTCTTTTTTGCTTTTAAATCAATCGACCCTTTTATTTTACTTTTTTTCTTTTACATACAAAATCTATATTTTACATTTATGGTCCCTTTACTTTTGGATTTTTTCAATTTATTTATAATTATTAACAAAATTTTCATTATTCTTTTATAACTCATTTAAGTATTTTAATTGTTGATACCAAACAATAACTTAAATTTTATATAGCCCTATTAATTTAAAAGAATAACATATCATTTCATATAACTTTTACAAAATTCAAAAAATAATTCATCACTTATTTTACAACTTTCAATTTCAAAGAATAAAACATCACTTCGTTTTTAGACTTTTACAAATTTCAAAAAATAATTCATCACTTATTTTAGAACTTTCAATTTCAAAGAATAAAACATCACTTCGTTTTTGGACTTTTACAAAATTTAAAAAGTAATTCACCACTTATTTTACAACTTGATTCAATTGATGGTTTTTGGAGAAAACTTACTTTGTCATCCCCCATAAACATGGGAGATGATGATGATATTCATTGTGATGATGAAGTGAAGATAATTACTGAGAACTTTGAAAAGCAACCAAGGTCTATAAAGCATAACATTTTGAGGAACTTAAGAGCGTTCATCAACCCATCAAAAACTTCAGTTTTGGAACCCTCTATTCATAAAACTAGTCGTGGTTGACCAAGTTTGTAGAAGAAGCCTCTCAAAGATAATGGAGTCGATGCACCAATCGAAGATACCCATAGACATAGTTGTTCGAACACATATGAACTTGGGTTAAGTTCCACGAATATTCATGAACCACCAAGACATAGCTTGTATGCAAACCAACAAAAATATTCATATTCATATATGAATGAATTTCCAAATATACTACATCCTAACATTAAGCAGGTACACAATGTAGAAGGTGATGGAAATTACGGATTCCGTGCAATCGCTTCTTGTCTTGGTCTTCATCAAAATGAATAGTACCAAATTCGAGTTAATTTAATGGAAGAGTTAGAAACACATACTACTGAATCTGGCGACATGTTTGGAAGTGAATATCGGTTTCAACTATATAAATCTTTGAATTTCTTTGGCGAAGAAGCGCCGCTTCAAAACTGGATGATTATGCCTGATACAAGTGTCCTAATTGCTTCAAGATACAACGTGGTATTACATTGTTTTAGCCGACACGCAAGCACAACGTACTTACCACTTCGATCTACTCCACCACCAGCCCATGAACACATTGTTATTGCAATTGGCCTCGTATATGGTAATCACTATGTCAAGCTAGAGCTAGGAGAGTACCCGATGCCTCCTATTGCACCACAATGGATTCATTGCAAACGTCCATGTGCAGCTAAATGGGTCACCCCGTATATCGAACGGCTAAATATGTATAATCATTATTATCGTGCTAGTTTTAATGGCTAAGTATGTATAATCATTATTATCGTTCTAGTTTTGACGTCTAAATATGTATAATAATTATTATCGTTATAGTTTTAATGGTTAAATATGTATGATAATAATTATTTTTTTAGTTTTATTGTTTGACAATTTAATTGCAACGTTGATTAATTATTTATAATTGTTTTTTATTTATAATAATATTTACTAAAAAATATACTTTTATAATTATATATTTAAAAAATATCAAATGGAATTGGAAACTAAAGTTGATGTGGTGGAATTGGAATTTAACCCAAGTTTATGAGTGGAATTTAACTCATTCGATAAAGTAAGGGGATACTAAAGGAATTGGGTTAAGTTGATGGACCATATTTATAATATATAAATATTAAATACCATCAAATCTTATAGGGGAGTGGATAAAAAAAGGGAAGGGTGGAGTTGATTACCTGTCCCTAATAGTTTTTGGGGTATGCTAAATCCACCCCTCCCCTCTCCTTTCCTTTTTACTTTATGTCAAATCAAAATCATCTTTTATTCTATTATATATATATATATATATATATATATATATATATATATATATATATATATATATATATATATATATATATATATATAATGTTTTTATAAAAATATTTACCGTTTTAATTATTTCAACTTTTAGTTCTACAAAAATAACTTATATTTTATATATCCCTATTAATTTGTTGTATTTATTTGAAGGTTTTTATAAAGGTTTATTATCACTCTGATCCAACTATCTTTCGTATATTGGTTTAAATGGTCTCTCATGACTATTTTTTGCTTTTAAATGGCTTATACTTGTAAATGACCGGTTAATATGGGACTTTAACCCACAATCGAAGGTAAAAGAACTTTTTGAATTGCCAACTAAGCAGCTTACTCAGCATTTGATCTGGACTCGTTTACTCATTCCCCACCTAAGCGTCCAACTAACCTTCATTAATTAGCCATTATGTCTACCAACCATCCAACTACCCATAGAGGACAAGGAAGAGTCGGTGGTGGGGGCATAAAGTCTTCTTCAAAAATCTTTGGTGCTTAAGGTAGCAGAAATCGATACCTTTTTTACCCTAATAAGCCAAACACGATTCCGACCAACACCCTAAAATCTATCAATGTCGGCTCCACCACCTCCCTCACCTGACTCGATAAATTCTGGAGAGTTTGTTAACCTTAGCGACTTGCATTCGATTTTTTGCGACTGTGGAGACAAGATTGCTGCCAACCAGATCGAGATGCAGACGCTCAAAGATCAAGTGGGTAAAGATTTCATTGTGTGCTGTGTTGATCACATCAGTCAGCATGACAAGTTGGAACATCATGAGAGGAACTTAAAAGTGATTGCTCTGGTGATGGGCGGTGTCATGGTGGCAATGCTTGGGATGATGATGGTTGGGGTCAAAGTCCTTATCAAGCTTGGATAAGATGTTTTGGGTACATTATGAAGCTAGGATAGTTATGGATTTATTGTTCTTAGTTTTTTTTTTGTCTCATATATAACAATCATGTTAAAAGACGTGTGTTTATGACAGGCATATTGTTCATATGTTAAGTTTTTTAATGGAAAAGGACCTGAGTAGCTCTCAGGCGTTTTGTATCATAGTACATTTGACCATTTTTAGTTTGGTTGTAAGATCATGCAAGAACAAGAATGATAACATATGTTGGGTTGTTTTACCCCATGTGCGTTGCATGGTGAGGGTATTTTAGTAATTTGATGCTTCTAACGACTGTAAATAACCCTGGAAGACCATTTTGTTTTCTCTTTTTCAAAGCAAATGTGATCCTTCATTTTGTTTTCTCTTTTTCAAAGGAATTGTGGAGTGAGATTCAAAAATTCGCACATGAAGATTGTGTGTGGATGTGGAAGTCCAGCAATAATTCGCACATCGAAGACTGTCAATAACCCTGGAAGACCATTTTATGCATGTCCAAACCAGGTAATTGTATTCATATGTTTAGAACCCTAGTTTGATGATCGATTTTTTAATGTTACATTAATTTCTATTTTAGGGACCACGATCAAGTTTCATTCTCTTGGGTGGATGAAATAAAATGCAACAATGAAAACATAATTTTAAGTGTACCTTTGAGGTTGAAGAAAAACCTGCAAGCAGAGGTGTTGAAGTTGAAGCTGTTTTTACTTTGTAGTTGGGTGTTTTTTTGGGTTTAATCATTTATAAGTTGTAATCAAATGTACTTTAATCATTTATAAGTTATGTACTTGGATTGGTGAATTAAGAACACTATGTATTTATGTGATGGTTCATTGATGTGTTGTTGTGCCATTACCCTTAATCTAGTCAAATAAAAGCAACTGTTAATGTTCTTGGGTTGCTTAATGTCATTACGTATAATGTCTTGTGCCAATACCTTTAGTTACAAGGACCACATTTTTGTCCATTAAGCACACAAATAGCACATGAAAATAATGGGAACTGACTGCATGCTAGGTGAAAAGTAATAGGAATCCGAAAGTCTTAAAGAACCAAAGCATGATTATATTACAAACTATTGTCAATGTAAGCATACTAACTTCACACAAATAAGTAACTGTCAAACCAAACAAACAAGTACAACATAAAACTATTGTCAAACATACCCATAGGAAACCATCAAATTATACCTACTCGTTAAGGTCAACCAGGTTTGCACTAGTTTCACCTTTCCCATCCTTGGTCTTAACCTTCTTTGCAAGTTTCCTTTTTATGATCCTCTCAGATTTTTTCCTTTTACCACCAATTTTTGGTCCACTCCTTCCTTCGTAACCTGTAGTTGGTCCACTCCTTCCTTCACCACTTCTAGTTGGTCCACTACTTCCTTCACCATCTTTACCCTTGTCAACTGTTCTCCTTTTCTTGACCTTTAGTTTCATGCTCCTTTTCACCCTTGACCTTTCTACATGTGGCCTTTCAACTTTGGGACAAGTAACCTTGTTATGCCCTGATTGTCTACACACACTACACAAGATTATTTTCCCTGCCTTAGACACAGTGTGCCTTGGAAGCTTTTCTGATTCATCTCTTCTTCTATTTACCTTTGGTCTACCTGACATTCTTCTTTTGAATGGTGGTAAGGGTGGTATGAACTCAGTAACTGACCACATGTTGCTCCCATTCATCCCATGTATTTGGTATTTGTAAGTGTTCTTGTAGAAGGCAACATAAAACATTGGATCAACATAAGTGGCTACATCTCTATTGAAATATGATATAGTAGCTACTGAGTGCACACAACCATACCCATTAAGTTGCAATACTCTACAAGTACAAGCCGTCTTGTCAAGGTTAACAACATATGATTCTGCCAGGTTTCTGGTTTCAAATTGGTTAAGACCACTTGGTAAAACCTGTCAATACCTATTAAACCCACCTTATTAGTTAGTATGTCACTTATATTAAAAGTGTAAAGACTAGAAAGTACCATTGAGTTCTTTTCAATTTATTTAGTAGGATTGTTATTGATGGTCAGGGTTTGTAATCAGACAATCCATTTTTCCACTGCATGGTGATGATTGGCTTTTTCCTTGCATCCATGATGACACTGTTAAAGCTCTCAGACAATCCAATTTTCCACTGCATCACACATCTTTCCTTCTTAAAAGAATGTTCTACTCCAAGATTTTGGGTTTGTTTCCATAAGGTAATCATAGGTTGCAGGATTAAGTACTTGAATCTCCTTCATGGCAGCATTGAATAAAGGCTCAGTGGATGCTTTGCTTGCCTTCCAAAACATGTTCTCATAATGTACACCACTTAATCTTTTCCTAAAGTTGGCTACAATATGCCTTGCACATTTCCTATGTTCAGAAATAGGAAGCACTTCCTTAACAGCCTCTAACAACCCCTACATAATAATAGTCATATTTTAAACATCATGTAACTTAATTGGGAAATATATAAAAGTTGTAAGTATATGACATACCTTGTGTTGATCTGACATCAATGATATACCAAAACCATCCTCTAGATGAAGGTCATCTTTTAGATTTCCAAGAACCATTTCCAATTTGCTTTGTTTTCTACACATACGACTGCCCATGCAATTGGGAATATGTGATTATTAGCATCCCTTCCTACAACAACAATTAGCTCTCCTGAATGTAAACCCTTTAAGAAACATCCACCCAAATTTATAATTCTTCTGCAGCTCCCTCTCCACCCTTGCTTTAGGGCATCAAAACAAATGTAAAACTTGCTAAAATAAGTCTTACCATCTGGCATAGCATTGACATCCATTTTGACTATTGATCCAGGATATGATCTTCTTATCTCCTCACCATATGACCATAGCTTTGCATAGTGATCCACTAATGTTCCCTCAATCAACTCAATTGCATACTTCTTAGCTCTTCTACACTGTCTTGTACTTACATCTATCCCAAATTTCTCTTTAACCTCATCCCTAAGGAGCCTAACACTAACTTTTTGGTTCTGTAAGAATTGGGTGGTGTAATGGGTACCTATCCAAGCATAGTTGACAATTGAACCTAATTTCAAGTTTCTTGCACAGTTATGCTCATTTATGAGACTCTTAATTTGGAAAGATTTTTCCTCACTTATCCAAGATGCCCACAATCTAAACTTGCAAGCATCGTAACAAAATTTCACTAAAAGTCTCCTGCTATCATTTTTATTGTAGCATAACTGATAACCATTTGCAACAGCATAGTTACACAACATGTGTTTCAGTTGGTTAGGATTCACAAATCTCATACCTAATACAGGCTTCTGTTTTTTCCAATGAACATTGTCATTATAAATAGCTTGCTCATTAGATATTACTTCATCATTGACTACATGCTTATATAGATCTTCATGTGGAGGACTGTTAGGGGTAACTTGGTCATTTGGGCAAAGTTTGCTAAAAAACTCATCATCTTTTGTCCTATTCATAGGAATACATTCATCAGGTTCATTGTCAACTTCCAAGTCAATTCCATCATCTTCCTTACCTTGCCAATCCTCCGTACTACCTTGCAGATCCTCCATATCACTTTGATCATTCTCAACTTCAATGTTAATGTCATCACCTTCCCCATCTTGCAACTATTCCCTAGTGCCCTGCAAATCCTCAATTTCAATTCCATCATCCATATCCATACCACCTTGCACTTCTTCACCAACCTCAATTCTATCAGAGAATTCATCTAATGAACTGCATATTTCGCCTTGCTCCTCAAGGATCCATTGATGTACATTAACACCAAGATGGTCCATGTATACATTAATAAAACTCGCAGAAGCATATCCTACTTCGATGAAGTCCATATAGTCTATATCAGTAGCTATTAACCTCAATCCATCAGGGAAAACCACATCGGGCATGCAAAAGTAAACATTGATGCATACCTCATTAGCGAATCTTTGAATGAACCCCACAAACTCGTTCTTGTCCATTCCAGGAAAATCAACATCATCGAACCTTTGTTCTGCGCCATCGAAGTAACAAATAGCGGGGTAACTCGAAAAAATTCTGGCAAAATGGAGATATATCTTCATGTAGACAGCTATAGGATTGATTAGGTTGGCTGATTTCAGGGAGGAAGAGTTTAAGAAATGGATTCGTGTCAATCACGGTTTGAAAAAAGTATACGAATGCAAATGGTAGCAGAATAAATGAAAGGGATAGTTGAGAGGGTTTAAACGGATATAGTTTCATTTAGTGACATAACACGTGGCAATGACCTGGCATATTTAATCTACTTGCATTGAGGTGGAATAAGAAAACGTCCTAGTCAGATGGGTGTGACCGGTTAGTCACGAGGTACCATTTAAACCAAAATACGAAAGATAGTTGGGCTAGAGTGACAATAAACCTTTTTATAAATTGGTTTTTATAAATTTATATTTGTATATAATAATTTATTATTTTTTAAAACTTGAAATTTTTTAACTATAGCTGAACGGGTCACCCCGTATATTGAATGACATGCTCCCAAATGTCAGCTCTCAACATGTCATGATAGCGAGTCCTCTACATCTCATCATCCCTTACAGACTGAGGCACCAATAAGGCCCTCTCCCGAAACTTGGCTATAATCTCCGCCACCGACTCCGTCATCTGTCTCATGTCTAGGAACTCTCTAGCCAGCTGCTGAAGCTGCACCTCTGGTGCAAACTTCGCCCTAAACCTGGTCACAAAGTCGAACCAGGTCAGAGCCTCAATGGCTGAGGCTCCCAACGAATCACCAACTGACTCCCAACAGTCTCTGACTCTGTCCCTCAAGCATCCTGTAGCAAATCGAACCTTCAACCCGTCAGGATAGAAGCTCGTCAACTGTTGTGACATCCCCAATTTCACGGCCAGAAAAAACCGACTTGTTTATTATTTGTTTTTGAAATCAGAGTACTCTTTTAAAGAAAACTGTCGTAGAATTTGTTCCCAAAACAAAATATGATTAGAATTTATCAAAGCATTTCTT